GTGTGGGCAGCTCCAAGTTGCTCGTGCAGGGTCCTGCTCCATGCAAGGATGCAGCTAGAGCAGGCATACTATAGGCCGCTTCCACGGTGGGCACTGGGGAACACAGTGGCACCTGGAAGCTTGGAGAGACCAGGAACTGCAGAGCCCCAAGGAGAGTGTCATAGCCCTGGCTCAGGGAACTCCTAGGTTGGGCTCCCTGAAGGGCCAGAGCTCTTCTCTCCTTTTTGTCACCTTCAGGGTAGTGAGTTGGGAGCATGTTTTAGCTCTGTTTATGTTACAGCTCTTCCAGTCCTGCCCTTTGGTGGGTCCTGAGTTCTTGTCCCATGTCCAGGAAGAATGAGTTACGTAGACTAGTGGAGGGTGAGCAGCAAGGCAGAGAGGAGCTTCACTGAATGGCAGGACAGCTCTCAGGAGACGCACAGTGGGCAGTTCCTTACCGCAGGCAGGTCGTCCTGATGAGTCAAAGAGGCCCAATGTAGGTAGCTCCTTTCCACAGTTAGTAGTCCCAACATCTGTCTGAGTCTGGCTGAGTCCAGGGTTTTTATGGCTCAGAAGGGAGGGAGTATGTGCTGATTGGTCCATGGGTGGGCCTGGAAAAAACCCCATGAGTTCTCACTCTGGGCCGTGGACTCCACTTGGAACTGACAGCCCGGCCCCCAGGCTTCAGGCTGTCCTTGTTCTGAAGGTGGGGCTTCACTCGGGACCTGCCCTTCCGCCTGGGAGCCTGTCTGCCTTCTGCCACCGTCAGCATGCTGGCCAGTGCGCCCAGGCTGTTTGTGTCAAGGGGCACCTGCAGGCCCGCCCCAAGCTGCCCTCAGCCCCTATCTTGGCCACTCTCCCATGCTCATCAGCTCCCAAAATCTTGGAGGGGTCTGAGGCATCAAGAGGCTGGCGTGTCAGCATCACCCCAAGCATGCGCACACCTAGCTGGGTTGCAACAGTACCCGACTTGGCCTCAACTTTGCTCAGAAATTGGAGTGGGTGCCAGGAGTGGGGAGGAGTGGGTGCCAGGAGTGGGGGGAGCGGGAGCAGGCACTTAGGAGCCTGCCGGGGCAGGGGCGCTTCCTGGGCCCCCAAGAGCTTAGAGGTGCCTGGATCCAGAGCTGCAGCTGTTCCTGGTAGTACGGGGCTCCCGCCCTGCCAACTCAGTAGGCGATGGGGCTTCCGCCTGTTCCTGGCTCCTGTTGGCCCTGCAGAGTGCACAACTCTGGCCGCGCCTCCTCCACTGCAGCTTACGTCTGCAGCAGCGACTCCCAATGGACTGCTGCTGCCATCAGTCAGACCATTAATGTGTGCAATTTGAGGACTCATTGGCCTTGCCATTGTTTCCTTGGTTGTTGGTGAGTGTTGGCTGGAGTGGGGGTGTGTGATTATAGTTCTGCGTGAATCGCCAGAATCTTGAACCACAAGTGTCCTGCTGGCCTGTTTCACTACATACTAATGAGTAAAACGTGGTCATACTCACAGAAATCACAAAGTTGAAATCAATAAAATGAAAAGATCTCTGTATTACAAGGTGAGAGTACCGAGGATTGAACATTGATCTTTGTCAGAGCTTGATGTAGAATCTCTCAAAATAATGATGAGGTAAAGCGTCTGGGAGACAGCATCAGCCTGTCCAGGCGCCCTCAGGTACAGGCAGTTCCATCGCATTCATTCATTATTAACACGTTCATGCATTTTCAGTCTTTTTCCTACCCATGTATATTTTACATAAGTGAATTTATATTGTGTGCTGGGTCGGGCATGGTGGCTCACGCCTGTAATCCCAGCACTTTGGGAGGCCAAGGCGGGTGGATCATCTGAGGTCAGGAGTTCGAGACCAGCCTGGTCAACATGGTGAAACCCTGTCACTACTGACAATAAGAGAATTAGCTGGGCATGGTGGCAGGTGCCTGTAATCCCAGCTACTTGGGAGGCTGAGGCAGGAGAATTGCTTTAATCCAGGTGGCAGAGGTTGCAGTGAGCCGAGATTACGCCACTGCACTCTAGCCTGAGTGACACAGTGAGACTGTGTCTCAAGTATGTATGTACATATATATATATATAGAGAGAGAGAGTACTGTTTTTTCCCCAAAAGAATAGCTTAATTTTTTGCTAATTAGAAGACTAATGTTTGCTTACAAATAATATTTGCAGACTATAAAATGGCAGTGAAGACAACAAAAACTTCCCATAAACTTACTAGCCAG